ATGGTCTGTAAAACACTGTGTATTGGACCATTCTACTACATGTCTTGTATTGACTATGAGTTCAGCTAGTTCGGATCTTCGGACCCATATACCATAATTCTTTGATGTGCATTTTTCTTAAATGACCATTTCTCGGTCTGACGATGTAAGGCGCATGACAAACGAAAACTTAGCACAGGTTCATCGGAATCGCAAGACTTCTCAACACCATCCAACAGTCTTCATCCCAAGGTAATCCTCCTTCGATTTATGATGAGACCAATTCATGAATCCTTCTAGTCAACCTTCTAATCAACTTTCTCCTCAAAATTAAAAGTCAAGTCACAATAAATCTCCAAGGGACTCAAAAACCAAGCATTCATTTATATCTACTGAATATATCCAAAATCTATCATTCATTATTTCCTACTTGATGTCGCCGTTCCGACTGGGTCCCTTAGGCTCAAATTCCGCCGTCGTAAAATGTCCACCAGTTCTTCCGTTTCCCTGTTTACATGCGTACAAATTGTCATATTTAGCCATCGGTATCGTTGTCTTCGCCATATTCGTCATCTCTGCAGTGTCAGTTTCTCGGATAGGCAAGCTGAACAGACTGATTTCAAGCTCTGCAGCCTTCATCGGGCTAGCCGCCGAGGTTGATGCAGCTCCCGTTGTTGTGGCGGCAATATAAGGGGATGTAGCGCTCCCCCCGGAAGCCGTTTTGCCTTTGAAGCGAGCAGAATTGGCTTGGCTTGAACGCCAATGGAGACGCAGGATGAGGCAGACGAGTAAAACCAGCAACAAGCCTATGCCGAATCCAGTGCACGGGTAGATAAACCAGCTGAACGCCTGTCGAAAACTCCATGGTGACCAAATTTCTTTTGTTACCAGACAATGAAAGTCCGTGCATTGGTGCCAAAACGAATTGGTAGAGTGGGTGATGGTGGTCGGCGAGGCGAATAAGGAGTATGAGGATATGAAAATTAGGGGTGTACAGAAAGGGAAAAGGTCGATTTAGCAAAGATGGCAAGATAAGGCCTATTAATTTGTAGAGCAATAGTAATTGTACTTCAAGGTAAGAATGAATAATGTTTCGGGTAAAAAAAAAAGTTCTGAAGATTAGAATTATGGTTAATATGAAATGAAAGTTAGCCAGAAATGATTTGATGGGATTCATATGGAGACAGAAAAGGCGCTAAACAAGACTAGATCAAAGGTGTGCGAAGAGGAGTTTCAAAACGGATACAATTTGAAGTAAATATGGCAAGCTAGTAGAAAGCCTTACGAGTTTATAATCACATGAGAGAAGCCACGAATATTTGGGCCTCAATACAAATCTACTTGTATATCATTTAATAGACAGAAAATGAGTAGCCTAATCTCTGTAGGAAGAAGTGGGAACCAAAGTAAACATATACTTGTTTTATCGAAATAGGTTATAGAAAAAGAGAGGTATATTTGCTATTATAAAAGCCACTATTGTCTTTTAGAATTATGCTTCTGAACCCAAAAGACCTGGATTTTATTCCAAATTGAAAATAGGATTAGGTATAGAGTGACAAAACGCAAGCACTTTAATAATTCAAAGCTGAATTTCATATTTTATCTTAAGTTTCGAAGTCTATTTTCCACGAATATATATTTAGACTGTGTTTCTTCTTCCGAACAATTTCACTGGAGAAGACAAGCCTCTGTTTAATAGTGACACTTTATGCATAGCTGTTATAATAAATACATAGTAATAATACATCTCATTAGTAATAATATTAGTTAGTTGACCTTTTTTAATTAAAGCTTCCGATAATTCTAGGAAAATAAATCGTGCAACAATCAATACTGTATAACACCATTTGTGTAAGCACGAAATTAAGAGACAAGCTAGCACATAGGTATAACCATCTCATGACCAAAATGTAAATATATTGCAAGTTTGATTAGCTATTTAGAGGATCATATCCGTATAGTCTAATCTAAACCCTAATGTGCGGACATTCATAAAGTCCTCCATAATTGGCATAAAAGACTGGCATATCTTTTGTCAGAACAGCTAGCCACTAACAATCGACAGACGCTTGGATCGTCTTGATTTTCAGTCAAAATTCGTTGTAGTCCTTATATATAAAAAATAATTTTTTTTGGGGTTTATATTAATTTAACTCCATTTAAGGTTACTGAGTTACAACCAAAAGGACGAGATGGGCTTCTTTTCTCGAGCTGCACTACCTTTATTTTTTCCTTCAGATTCAATTAGATTCAAGTCGCTGTATAAACTCGAGCTGATATCATATATTTTCATACTTTCATATTTACACAGTGAGCAGACAGAAATACACACTCTGAAGTCAGATTTTCTATACCAATCATTTCCCGCGCACACACGATCTTTCTCTGTCTGTCCTTTATCAGTCGTTTAACACAATGACTAATTTGTGGAGCTAAGAAGCTGGATTTTACCAATGTTTCGCTCTGTAGCGAACATGCCCCATTCGCTCATTGATGTAGTCTCTCATATGTGAACATATACTGGCTTATCAAAGAGATGTTTTTTTAATCGAAATGGCAAAAATAATAAACAAAATCTTTCGCCCCGATGTCGTTGTTAATTTTACAACAGGCCTTTCCTATTCCGCTTTCTCCTAGCACTCTTCATGAGAGTGTCACAACTCTGTCTTTGTGCCATAGCTATAGTTCTTGCAATTCATTCATGTACAGAGACTGTCTTATTGACGATTTTGTTGATTTCTATAATAGAATTGATATTTTTTGCGCCGTCTTAATACCCCATCAGTTTGGAAATGATAAAATAGAGCCAAAGCCAATGTATTGCCAAATAAACAAGAAGCCCATCTTCTGCTCCACATAAGAGAAAGAGCTATCTTTCTGCATGATATATGTAAAAATTACGGACCCAAAATGGTTGTGAAGATTATTCGCATTGTGCTGAAAAATAGGCCTTCTTGATTCGATCCCAACTTTGCCTGTGGTCGAGTAAACGAAGAACCACGTGAGCACGACACATGATTCAAGCCAATTTATTTTTATGATGAAGGGAGGTTACGATAACTTGCTTATAGACGTAAAAACGATATCCGTCTTTTAAACTGAGAATACAGTATTACGATGAATAATATTGCCAAAGCGGTGATTCTTATAGAACTAAATAAATCTGAATAATGGGAATATATTCCAAGTCTTTTTTCGAAAAATCCTTATAAATTATAATTTTGAAAAAAATAAGCTCTCATATTGCTTAGGAAATTGGATACTAAGTAGATGACTAAAACGCCACCATTTATTTCTAGGAGTACTTTATTTTGATTTTAGAATAGCATTGCGATATAGTCTCTAAAAAAAGCCTAATTTCAAAGGACTCACATGTCCTACTGAAGAGGTTGACATATTAAAATAGTACATTTGTTTTTTACAGTATATTTGGTTAATGAGATGATAGCAAGAGATGGAGCGAAAACTAACATTATTATTTGCAGTGCATAAAGCTAGTGAAGCACTAACACTCAGCCTAGATGAGCACCCAGACATTATTGGGGAAGCGAATCTAGGCAAATTCTCAATCTTAAGGCTTCTTAATCTATTCATGAGCAACACATACTTAACCTTTAATGATAAAGTTTATGAACATTTGCAAAGCCTAGCAATGGGATCTTGCTTGGCTCCCAGTTTGGCTAATAATTACATGTCAAGATTGGAGGAACACTCCATGGAAGAGGTAAGATTGACACCCAAACTGTTAGTTAGATATATGGATGACTACTTTGCTATATGGCAG